ATGCCCTGATGCAATTTAATATGAGTCTTATAATACTTTCTTCAAGCAAACTTTTTGATTGTCTCAAAATTATATATTTGATTATTATAAAACAAACTTTTTAATTAATTAATTAATGTGTATATGATTTTGTTGTTGAACCAAATAAAATAAAATAAGATTGAATGTATATTTAGCTTTTGTTGTGAACTTTAAAAAAATAATAAATAAATAAGTTGTTAACATTAAATATATTAAAAAAGAAAGAAAAAGATTGAAGGTATATTTAGCTAAAACCTTTATAACAAAAAAAAAAAAAGGAAAAAAAAGAAGGTTATTAACATTAAATATATTAAAAAAGAAAGAAAAAAGATTGAAGGTATATTTAACTTTTGTTGTGAACCTTAAAAAAAAAATGGTTAACATTAAATATATTAAAAAAGAAAGAAAAAAAATTGAAGGTATATTTAGCTAAAACCTTTATAAAAAAAAAAAGAAAAAAGAAAAAAAAGAAGGTTGTTAACATTAAATATATCAAAAAAGAAAGAAAAAAGATTGAAGGTATATTTAACTTTTGTTGTGAACCTTAAAAAAAAAAAAAATGGTTAACATTAAATATATTAAAAAAGAAAGAAAAAAGATTGAAGGTATATTTAGTTTTTGTTGTGAACCTTAAAAAATATATATATATATATTTGTTAACATTAAATATATTAAAAAAGAAAGAAAAAAATATTGAAGGTATATTTAGCTAAAACCTTTATAAAAAAAAAAAAAAAAAAAAGAAGAAGAAGAAGAAGAAGAAGAAGAAGAAGGTTGTTAACATTAAATATATTAAAAAAGAAAGAAAAAAGATTGAAGGTATATTTAACTTTTGTTGTGAACCTTAAAAAAAAAAAATTGTTAACATTAAATATATTAAAAAAAAAAAAAAAAAGATTGAAGGTATATTTAACTTTTGTTGTGAACCTTAAAAAAAAAAAAAAAAAAAGAATGGTTGTTATCATTAAATATAAAAAATAAAAATGGGGATTAAAATGGGTTGGGAAAAATCCATACGCATTAAAAAATGGGGAGGGTAGTACCCATGGGAAATGGGGAATGGGAAAAATTTATTATAGGGGAATGGGGATGGGGAATTAATATCCACCCAATTGCCCCCCATTGCCATTCCTACTGCGAGGTTCCTTCCCCCGCCGCCGGCGCTAGTGACAGAGAGTAGAGAGACAATCGAAGAATGTATGAGAGAAGAGGAAGAGGAGTGGCGGAGGTGGTGGTGGTGGACCTTGCGAGGTTCTTTCGCCCGCCGTTGTCACCATGGAAGAAAGCTTTGGTCGATCTCGACTTCTTCAAGGCAATGGCACTGCTAGGGTCTTGAGAGAGAGAGAGAGAAGTGTAGGAAGAAACTGAAAGGGAAAGGAAAAACAAAATGCCTATTGTGCCCTTGGAAACCAATCACATGTCATTTACGAGCAAATTTTCTGTCCAATTTCTTAACTTTCGTTTTCAATTGGACCAAAATGATATAGAATTCAAAATTTAAGATTAAAATCGAACAAATTAAAATTAAAGGGACCAAAATGACATAATGTGTAAACTGTATAGACTATTTGAATAATTTGTCCTTAAGGCCTTGTTTGATTGGGGGATATGAAGATTGGGATTGGATATTATATCCGGTGGGGTCCATATATCCCATGTTTGCAATTTTTTTTTGAAAGGGATATAATATCCGGTGGGATTGTATATCCTCCCCTTGGTTGGGATATGATGTAAAAAGTCCAATTTACCATTTTGTCTATCTAACATAATATAATTTAATATATTTTTTTGAATTTAATATAATATAATTATTGAATTATTTAATTTAATATAATATAATATAATATAATATTATTTAATTTAATATAATATAATATAATATAATATTATTTAATTTAATATAATATAATATAATATAATATTATTTAATTTAATATAATATAATATAATATAATATTATTTAATTTAATATAATATAATATAATATAATATTATTTAATTTAATATAATATAATATAATATAATATTATTTAATTTAATATAATATAATATAATATAATATTATTTAATTTAATATAATATAATATAATATAATATTATTTAATTTAATATAATATAATATAATATAATATTATTTAATTTAATATAATATAATATAATATAATATTATTTAATTTAATATAATATAATATAATATAATATTATTTAATTTAATATAATATAATATAATATAATATTATTTAATTTAATATAATATAATATAATATAATATTATTTAATTTAATATAATATAATATAATATAATATTATTTAATTTAATATAATATAATATAATATAATATTATTTAATTTAATATAATATAATATAATATAATATTATTTAATTTAATATAATATAATATAATATAATATTATGAGGGCAATCTTGAAAATTACTTGTTATATCTCACAATATATTTTGTAAAACAAACATGCATAATATATATCCAATCTTATATATCAAGTCAACAAACATGACTTAAGGGATATACTATCCAATACTTATATCTTATTTATTATATATCTTGATTAAATTTTATATCATATTATATCTTTTATTTTATATCTAATGAAACAAACGGAGCCTAAATTTATATGATCTCGTATAAATTTTAATGTTTGGCGCACATGGTAACTTGTGTAACTAAAAAATTGACATGACTTTAATAACATGCCAAATGATCCATTCATTCAAACTCCTGACTACAATCACTGGACATATGAGATCATACGAAAAGGTGATACGTATAGCGTTATTGAAGGACAAGATATATGTAACTTTTTTTTTAATCAACAAGACATACACAATATTCAATGCTAGCTTTGACTTTTTAGGGACCCAAAACAAGTTTTTAATACAGGCCCTTTATACATGGAAAAAAGAAATTCTCAAAAGAAGCTTGTAATATGCACTGATATTTTAACTATGTTTTTTCACAAAAAATTTACGTCTATATATAACTATTAAAATTTTATTTAAACATATAACAAAATTAAATACCAAAATAGCCTAAATTAGAGTAGTATAGTATCCCCCAAAAATGTACAAACTATATAACAAAGTATTACTTAAACATCAACATTCTTGCATTTTTAATGGTAAGATTAATAATCAAGTTTACATAATTAAACTTATCAGCAAAATTCATTCAATTTTTTTTTATAACATAGTTGACCGAATGTAATTTTCTTTTTTCAAAAGCAATTGTAATAATTATAGTCAATATTATACATTTGATAAACAACCATACATCAAATAATTCACCACCTTAATCAAGTTTTTTGGTTTTTTTTTGTGGGCCTCTTTTAATAAGTATAATAGTTGATATTTTTTTGGGGCCTTTTGCTCAACCAATTTTTTGAGGCCCAAAACGGCTGTTTGCTCGGCTTTCTCTCAAAGCCTGCACTGACAATATTATCTGTATTTGTGGAGAAATTATTTATTATGTGACCCAAATTTGCACAAGCAAGGCTGCTCAACTATTTGTGGCGGTATCAAACAAAATTTTAAATGGAACCTTTTTGATATTTATTTTTAAATTTAAATGAAAATTAATTAAATTTTCTAATAGTAAATTTTTTATATAAATTTATTTTTTATTGTTTTCGTCTTCGTTTGTCAACTATATATTTTAACTAAAAAGTCAAAAAGTTATTATAAGTTGTCACATCACTCTTTCTATTTTTTTATATATTTTTTCGTAAAAATTTAAAAAATTACTAAAATAACATGTTACTAAACGAGTTACCAAAAAAAATTTGTTACATATTTTTTCAATTGATAATATTTTTAGTCCACTTACTAAATAATTTTACAATCAACTTTAGAGGGAAGATGTTAGGTTTCTAACGCATGACTATTTTGGGAGTCAAAATATAAATTTCATTTTATCTAGAATATTTTAGTACATGTCTTTTATATATTTAATTAAGTACAAATATGGAATGATTTAAGCATGGACCTTGTCAAGTTTATTTTTAAACTCGAACAAATTAAAAAAAAAATAAATAAATTCACCCAACCTTTTGCTTAGTAGCACGGTATATAATATTAATATACCGTATGAACTCTTGAACTGTTGTTTAACTGCCAAATGGACAGACCACTCCACCAATTCAGGCACTAATTACGGAGTTTTGGATAATATAATTAAGTACTTAAAATTGAATATATTAAGTGATAATCGGTTAAGTTTATATGATAATTATAATTGATATCACTTAAAAATTTAAGTGTTCCTTAAAATGTAAGTTAAAATTTAAGAAAATTTTAAATCATATGAAACTTATTTAATTCTAACTGAATTTATAAATACTAAATATAAATATCAATATATACTATTATAATCTCACCACCACCACTATCATGTCACCGCCGCCACCACCACCACCACCATCATGTCACCGCCGCCACCGCCACCATGCCATTGCCATCACCACCATCACAATGATCATTACCGCTATCACTACCACTACTGCTACTATCATGCTACCGCCATCACTACCACCACTGCCACTATAGCTACTACTTCCACCACCACCACCACTACCACTACCACTACGACTACCACTACTACTACCACCACGATCACAATATAAAAATTAAAATATATAATTTGAAAAAAATAAATTTCAAATATAATCTTATACATATCAAACAATTTATTTTTAGTTCAACATTTAAATTTTTATTAAACAACTTTTTAACTTAATAAATTTAGTATTCATTTTTCAATTCTTAATTTTCAATTTTCAATTTTCAATTTTCAATTTTCAGCTTTTAGCTTTCTCAAACAGCACAAGTCTTACAATTAGGGTGAAAACTTACCCATTTTTAATGTTTTTGTTTCTCAAATATGTTCCAAATATCAACTACAAGAGTCTTACTGTTCAGGCTAAAGCTTACCCATTTCTAATGTAGTGTTTTGTGCCAATAATAGATGAGGCCAAGTTACCACCCAGAAGGGCTATTTGAAGAGAACAAGGAGTCCATTCCAAAGTCTAATGAAGGAATATCAAAGTCAATTACTCAGCTATGGCACTTAAATGGAAGGTGCCCAGAAGGAACTATTCCCATTAGAAGAACAAAAAAGAGGGAAATACTCAGAGCAAGCTCTATCAAGAGTTTTGGAAGGAAGCAACATGGAACCATCCCTGAACCAACAATGCCTACTAAACCTGAACCCATCAATCTAAGTGCTCACCAGGTACAACCACTATCATATACAATCTTTGTGCATGAATATATGTAGTTAAATATGATAAACAAATGAGAGAATGAGTGAATATATATTAAGTTAAATAATAAACATATGAATATAAGGTCTTTTATATAGTGAAGGATAAGGCTTAAGTATGGTGATACAGATAACTTATCTACAGTAATAGAATAAAATCGAATCTAACCAAATCAAATCCTCTACAAATCCAATTATATATAATATTGGATATATATATATATTATTCGATAATATCATAATATATACATATAATATTGGGTTGATTTGGTAACTTGACTATTTTAGTTGGCTTTTTGACTATTTTAACATAATTAAAAAAGTTGTATTTGGAATGATAGTTGATATATTTTTTTTTGGTAAGTGACTTGATGGTTGTGAGAGAAAAAATAGAATGATTATGATTTGAATATGACATTTTATTTTATTAGCTATTTTAGCGTATTTTGTCTTTATTACCTATTTTAGCCAAAAAAACCTCCAACAACACCCCTATTCTAACTTCCCTCCTCAAACTCAAGGTGGTTGAGCAGACAACTTGTGTTTGGCAAGTAAAGCATGAAAACGTCCAGGTGGATGTGCTTTGGTGAAGATATCAGCAGTTTGATCGACATAAGAAATAAAATGAAGGTGAATAGTACCACAAACAACATGCTCATGAATAAAATGACAATCGATCTTAATGTGTTTGGTACGATCATGAAACACATCGTTGCGAGCAATTTGAATCACACTATGGTTGTCACAACAAAGGATAGTAGTGGAGGAATAAGTAATCCCCAAATCTTCGAGTAACCAGCGAAGCCATAAAATAATTCTAGCGTAATGTTTGTAAGAGCACGATAATCTCCCCCCGTTCTAGATCTGGAAACAATAGTTTGCTTCTTGCTACGTTAGGAAATGAAGGAATCATCGAGAAAGAAACAATATCTAGTGGTAGAGCGGCGATCAGTAGGATCACTTGCCCAATCGGCATCGGAATATAGGCATGCAATTCTAAGATAGAATGAGAAGAATAATGAAGCCCATGAAATAAAGTACCTTTTATGTATTGAAGGATATGAAGGACTGATTGGGTGGAGCATGAAGATGCCAAGAATTGATTGACAAGATGAACAACATAGGCGATTTCCAGTCAGGTAACACTGATGTTAGGTTTTATTTTTGGCAATCCCGTTTGACAAAACTCCTTTCAGTTGTACTTATTTTCGCACTTTTATTTTAGTGAGGCTATGAGTTTATTAGATGTGAATCCAACCCGAATCGTGCTTTGCAGAGAAGTTTGTGGTGTTAATGCATTCAAGATTGCCGCTTCGCTGACTATGACGGGGATCGAGCTGCCCAGTCAGCTCGCAGGGGTTTAGGGGACAGCGCCCCTTGCTGGGTCCGGGGCAGCGCCCATGCGGGGTCGAGGGGCAGTGCCCTCGAAGCAAAATGAAAAATTGCCTTCGAAGTTGCTTGTCTGCTCGAGCGGACATTTTCCCGCTCGAGCAGAGAACTCTTGGTCTCAGAAGTTTGATCGCCTACAAAAATATTGGATGTTGTTTTTTCCCGCTCGAGCGGAACTTTCCGCGCTCGAGCGTCGTCCCGCTCGAGCGGCCATTCCGGCGCTCGAGTGGAGATCGCAGAACAGATTTCTATAAATACGTGTTTCAGTCCAAATCTAGGTTAACGCCTCCAGATCTTCTTCTTGGTTTCTAGGTTTTATATCTGGGGCTATTTTGCTAGTTTTCTTTGATATTTCATTTAGTATTCAACTCATGGTTTAAGAAGGATACATCAAAGGATTGTTTGTTTATTCTATACAAAAGAGAGAGTTGTTCTTCAGTGGATTCTGAAGAATTCGAGCCTGAAGCTTTGGTGGATTCTAGAGTGGCTCATAGTCAAGACAATTCCGAGGTGAAGACGGGACTGGAAGAGGCACATAGGGGTTGGTTCAATTCGGGTGTGGACTCACTAGGTAATTGAGAGTATACCTGTGTAATTCCTTCATGTCTTTTTAATGGATTGTTTTGTGGCTTTTGCCCGTGATTTTTTTTATCACAATTGGAGGTATCCAATTGTGGTTTTTCCACGTAAAATCATTGTGTCGATTTGTCTTGATTGTTTGATTGTGATTGTTATTTACTGCTTAAAATTGATACATAATCACAAATCAACATCTAGGGGATTTCTAGATTTTTCAACTAAGATAGACTAGATTTCCAACTAAGTGTTGATAAAGTGTGGCATCAGAGAGAGGAATGTCGCCTAGGGGAGTGAGACGAACATTGTCTCAATAGGTGTGGAGGCAACCTTCCTATCAGTAAGACCAACACAGGTGAGTAGATCAGAGGCATACTTTTCTTGAGAGACATAGCTAAGAGAATTCCGAGGTGAAGACGGGGCTGGAAGAGGCACATAGGGGTTGGTTCAATTCTGGTGTGGACTCGCTAGGTAATTGAGAGTATACCTGTGTAATTCCTTTATGTCTTTTTAACGGATTGTTTTGTGGCTTTTGCCCGTGATTTTTTATCACAATTGGAGGTGTCGAATTGTGATTTTTTCACGTAAAATTATTGTGTCGATTTGTTTTGATTGTTTGATTGTGATTGTTATTTACTACTTAAAATTGATACATAATCACAAATCAACATCTAGGGGATTTCTAGATTTTTCAACTAAGATAGACTAGATTTCCAACTAAGTGTTGATAAAGTGTGGCATCAGAGAGAGGAATGTCGCCTAGGGGAGTGAGACGAACATTTGTCTCAATAGGTGTGGAGGCAACCTTCCTATCAGTAAGACCAACACATGTGAGTAGATCAGAGGCATACTTTGCTTGAGAGGCATAATAGCTACCAGAGTTGGAAGAGATTTCAAGACCCAAAAAATAGTTGAGAGGCTCTAGATCTTTCATCTCAAAATAACTATTGAGGGAATGTTTCAACTTAACTATACTAGTAAGGATCATGCCATCAACATAAAGAAGAAGATGAGTGGTGACATGATCAGTCTTGCGAATGAAAAAGAGCATAATCATACGCCATGATCAGTCTTGCAAACGAAGCAAAGCCAAACTGTGCAATAATGGTACTAAACTTGGAAAACCAAGCGTGAGGAGCTTGCTTGAGACCATAGAGAGCACGCCGAAGTTTACAGACCTTTTGAGAAGGATGATCATAGTTAAAAGGAGGTTACATATATACTTCTTCAATGAGATCGCCATTAAGAAAGGTATTTTTTATATCAATTTGATATAGGCCCCACTTGCGGACAACATCAACGACAATGAGACTACGAACGGGGGTAAGGTGAGGATTACAAATTTCTTTTCATAGTCAATGCTATACTCTTGAGTGAAGCCTCGAGCAACTAAGTGTGCTTTGTAGCATTCAATAGTGTTGTCAAAATGAGTTTTGATCTTGTAGACCCATTTACATCCATTAGCAGTCTTACTAGAAGGAAAGTCCATTAAATCCCATGTATGAGTTTTGGCCAAAGCCTGCAATTCATCAATCATTGCTTGCAGCCAAAAAGGATTAGAATTGGCCCTCACAGTAAGAGTGAGGTTCATGCAAAGAAAGAATAGTAGAATAACAATGATAATCATGAAGATGGAGAGGAAGTTGTTTTACCCTAGTAGAATAATGAAGAGGTGAGTCAAGATTAGAAGATGATTCAGGGGAATCAAGGGATGCATGAGGCTCATTGTGAAAGATGATGGGGGCAAAACTAGCAGGGAGAGCAGGATCCTTAGGAGGTTGAAGAAGGGAGGCACCACGGGGTCAATTGTAGGCAAGAGCATCTTTGTGGAGGTTGGAGAACATCTGTCTCAATCTCAGTAGAAAACAAATCTAGGGGAGGATTAGTGAAGAGTATAATAGTGGGATGAGGTAAGTGAAATTGAGAAAGAGATGAAAACATTTTGTGTTCCCAAAAGATGACATGGCGATAAATGCGAAGACATTTGGAAATAGGGCCTCTACACCAATATCCTTTGTGTTCAATGCCATATCACAGAAAACAACATAAACGAGAATGAGGCTCTAGTTTTGTATGTTCATGAGGTTGTAGTAACATAAAATATGCAAAACCAAAAGACTCGGAAAGTGGTGTAATCAGGATAAATACCATACAAATGCTCATAGGGAGTGTGATAACCGATAGTGGGTGTGGAAACATGGTTGATTGTAAAAACAATAGTGAGGGCAGCTTCGCTCCAAAAATTTTCAAGACAAGAAGAGAAGAGAAGAGAAGAAGGGCTCAAGTAGTATTGAGAATATGTTTGTGTTTCCATTCAGCATGTCCAGTTTGTTGAGATGTGACGGAACATGAACGATGAGGCTGAGTACCATGACTTTGTAAAAAAGAGCGAAAGTCAAAATCTTTGTCTTCCATGGTATTATCAGAACAAAAAACTTTAATTGGATAGGAAAACTGTGTTTTAACCATGTTTGAAAAATTGTAGTAAATTTGATTTAGTTTAGACCGATTTTTCATGAGAAATATCCAAATAAAACAGGAAAAATCATAAGCAAAAATGACAAAATATTGAGTCATCCATGGTTAAAGTAGGGGATGGACCCCAAATATCAGAATGGATAAGATCAAATTGAGACATGGTCACTTTTAGTAAAAGATAAAGTAGGTTGTTTTCCAAGTTGATCGGATACGCAATCTATAGTATCAGAAACAACATGCCTTAATTGACTGTTAGAAATTAAATATTTTAAATGACCAAAAGAAATGTGTCATAAACAAGAATGCCAACAATGAAAAGAAGATAAAGTGGAAGTAGAAGTAGCAGGTTGGGTGGAAGGGGGGATGTGAAGATGAATAAGTACATATAGATGTCTATGCTTACGATCATTCCAATAGTCTATCTTGTCCGGGGGTTTTGCACCAAACAACCATTAGCAAAAAAGTTTAGAGTGAGACAAAGTTCACATATTTGACCTATAGAAATGAGATTTATGGTACAAGCAGGT